TCATTAAATTTGAGCGTCTGTTGTCTTGTGGTTTTTATTAATTAGATTCAGAGACAGATAATTTATTGTGCATTTTCTATCGTATTATTATGTTTAGAATTTAATGCTTCCCCTCGGCAAGGACTAATCCAATGATTCCACCCTGCCCCAAAAAAAAAACAATCAAAAGAGTATAAAGAGCTGGCCCAAGCAAAATCACTGTCACAAAAAATAAACAAATTTCGAAGCACTAATCCAATTAGTCAATAACCAGCCGTACATCCCATTTTCATTTCAGCCCGGCCCGATAGTCCATTGCTTCTCTAACTCCACGGAAGGGCCGGCCCATTATATTGAGAAGAGCCTGCCGATCCGTTTTTCATCAGGTTAACTTTTTTTAATATACATGTCCTGTATACGAGCCGGCCTGAGGCCCCTTATATTTTGAGGCCCTGTGTTGTAGATCAGGCCAGCACAGGGTCTGGGCCTGGGGATAGGCGATTTTTTATTCGATTTTCTGGAATTCGATTTTTATAAAACTTACTCCGCCTCATCATATTACCAAAAACAATATTGTTTCACAAGGTAACAAATACTTGATTTTGGTTCATAAGGCTGATTTTTGATTCGTTGCATCATTCATGTCTATTTCCTACTAAAATTCACTATTTTTATCACGTGTTTCCCACAAAAACTATACAACAAAAACTATATACCTCATTACATTATCAAATTTTATATCTCACTTTCCTCCGGCCAAATGGCCGGGACCCACACTAGTTGAAGTTAATACCAATTGAAAAAAGGAAAAGCAAGTAACGGAAAGTACATATCCGTTCCGTCTCCATCCGCTTCTAGTAAAAAAAAAAATTTTGGTAAAACAAAGGGCTACAGATCGCCCAAGACTAAGGGGGAATGAGTCTGGGAGTTTGACTCCCTACAAGATCGAAGAGCAGCCAGTGCCGCAGACGATGATCAGGGACCAGAATCGGATGAGTCCCGACCGGAAGCTCGTGCCTTGTCGACGCCAAGAAATCCGCCACCACATTGCCTTCTCTGTATATGTGCTCGATCTTCACCTCCCATCTGCGTTGCATCATTCCCCGCACCTGCGACACAATGCGGTAATGGGGATGAGTAGCCGTAGCCTGCTCAATAATCTGAAGCGCCGCCTGAGAGTCCGTCTGAAGTAATATTCTCCGCTCTCCCAGCTCCCAAGCGCATCTCAGTCCCTGGAGGATGCCCATAAGCTCGGCATGGGTGATCGACCCACCACCCAGATTCATGACGAAGGCACCCAGGAACTGGCCTTGATCGCCTCGCACTACTCCACCCGCCGTTGCACTATGCGCCGCCAGTACCACCGACCCGTCAGTGTTAACGTAGCTCCACCCCTTCTCTGGCCTGTTCCACCCAATCCAGTTCCACTCACCTGCTCTTCTCCCCCCAACTACCTCGGCATCCATAATCAGGGCCTCTTCAATTCGCTGTCTTAGTCTCCTGGCCGAGACTTGGATCTGAGTTGGTGCAGCCAACTTCTTCTCAAACACATAGGAATTCCTGTTCTTCCAAAGGGTCCAACAAATAACAGCAAAAAGGGTTGGGTCCAAACGCGCACTCCTCCCCGAAAGGTAGTGTAATAACCAGCTCGTCTCATTCGGGTTAAAAAACTTATCATCTGGCTCATCATCAAGAAATGCAGACCATACCTCCCTCGCATACGGGCAATCCCGTAGAACGTACATGACGTTCTCTTCATTACCGCCGCAAACTTGGCAGGTGTCCACATCGGTCAGGTGGCGCCTTCTCCTCTCCGCGTTCGTCAAGAGCCTACCATGAGCAACCAACCAAAAGAAAGATCGGATACGTTGCATAGCTGGAATTCTCCAAATCTTCTTCCAAATTGGGTGTACGTGGGCTGGTTGGCTAGCCTCATCGAGGCTCTCATAGGCAGTCTTTAGGGAAAACTCGCCGTTCGCTGTGTATCTCCACAATGGAACATCATCTTCCGCACCCTGTGGAATCCCATGCATTCGGATTTGTTCGACGGTGCTGGCCGGGAGAAAAACACGCAAAAACTCAAGGTTCCACTCATCGTTCAGGACCATCTCCGCCACAGTCAAATCGTAAGCTTCATGAGGGAGACCAGCAGCCTGCTCAACCAGTGTCGGCCCATCATTAAGCCAGTGATCCGTCCAGAACTTAACTGAACGCCCATTCCCAATATTCCATAAGGTTGCTTCGGGAATCCTGTCGAGGATCCTGAGTACTCCGCGCCAGAGGTTGGAGAGGCGGCCCGTTGTCCTGGGAACCAGGGAGCCATTCACTAGCCGAAGGTACTTGCTTCTGATCACTCTTGCCCAAAGGCTGGTTGGTTCCTTCATCAGCCTCCACGCTATTTTCATCATAAAGGCCTCGTTCAGTGTAGTCGCATCCCTCATGCCCAGCCCACCTTCTTCCTTTGTACGACACAGTGTATGCCAATCTATCAAATGGACCTTCCTTCCTGCTTCAGAGCTCCCCCAAATGAAAGCCCGAATCTTGCGATCAATATACTCTCGGACACTCGCCGGAAGAAACGTAGTTTGCATGGTGTAGGCTGGGAGGGAAGCCAAAACGGACTGCGCCAGAGTGATGCGACCTACCAGGGAAAGAGTGGCCACGCTCCAACCTGCGAGTCTGTTATCGATCCTGTCAATCAGGTCCAAGAATGTAGATCGCGAAACCCGATCATGAATGACCGGGACGCCCAGATACCTCCCCAGGTTGTTCGTCTGTGGGATGCTCAATTCGCTGCTCAGGGTGGTTGCGAGTGTGTCCGTCACATTTTTGGAGAAGAAGACTCTTGACTTCGGGCGGCTGATCTGCTGACCGGAGGCCCTGCCAAATACCTCGAACAGCTGGTTAATTACCTGCACCTGCGCATGGTTAGCCACACTAAACAGAATGAGGTCGTCAGCGATGAACAGGTGAGAAAGCGCGGGCCCTAAACAAGAGAGTTTGATCGGCTTCCAGTTTCTGGCATCGACAGCATCAGTGATTAGGTGACCCAGTCTCTCCATGCATAACGTGAAGATGTATGGTGATAGCGGGCACCCCTGCCGTAGTCCCCGTGAAGGAGTGAATTCCTCCGTCAATCCGCCATTCCACTGGATTCGCATCCGTGTCGTAGAGATGCATTGCATAGTGAGCTCCATGAACTTCTCCGGCACTCCGGCAGCTGTAAGTGTGTCCCGGACGAAGCTCCACCGGATACGGTCATAGGCTTTTGCAAGATCGACCTTTATCACCATCCATCCTGACCTCCCCGTCTTGGCTCTCATGGAGTGTATGACTTCCTGCAAAATACAGATATTGTCAGTGATATGTCTCCCGGGCACAAAGCTCGTTTGAGTCTCGTGCACAAGAGATGGCATGTAAGGTTTCAGTCTCTCGGCCAAGCTTTTGGTGAGGATCTTATAGCTGACATTGCAGAGACTTATCGGACAGAATTGATCAATGAGCACCGGTCTCTTGATTTTGGGTATAAGCACCAGCAAGGTTTCATTCAGCTCGCGAATGGAAGGTGGCTCGACCCAGCAATGACGGGCAAAATCGAGGACTGCTTGCGCCACCACCTCCCAAAATCTTTGGTAGAACAGCGGGTTCAGGCCATCCACTCCCGGCTCTTTGAGCGGTCCCATGGCTGTGACTGCCGCCTTCAGCTCCTCCATTTCGAAATTCCTGCCAAGCTCCAGGAACCGTGGCTCGGATATGATTGGGAACCCGCTCGGCAATGCCTCGCTAGGTACCCCCTCCTCTATGAAAAGGCCCTGGTAATACTGGCACGCCATGAGACAGAGTTCGGCCTGATCCTCGACCCACTCCCCCTGCTGGTTCTTGAGCGCAACTATGCGGTTTCTTTTTCTTCTTCGAAGTGTCCGAGAATGGAAGAATTTTGTATTTTGGTCCCCCCATTTCACCCATTCCGTACACGATTTTTGACGCCATAAGATCTCCACCTGTAGCAAGGCTTCTTCTAGTTCAATCCTTAACTCCGGCAGTCCCCCTTGTTCCGAGTCTCCTCCCCATCGTTCCTCAAGCCTCCCGATCCTCCACAGCAACCGATCCTTCCGCCTTGAGATGTGTCCAAATGTATGCTTGTTCCAATGACTCGCATCAGCAGCAAACGCCGAGGAGCTACTTCTCAGGTCCGACCCTTTAGCCCATGCCGATTTGAGCATATCCGAGAAGCCACCATGCATTAGCCAAGAGGCCAAGAACTTGAAGGGTTTAGGTCCATGTGGAGCAAACTCGGGGTTGGTTCTTATCAGCAGCGGCTGGTGATCGGACTTGATCCTTGGCAGGTGGCGAACTGTCGTCTCAGGGAAAAGAGTAGACCAACGTGTATTAGCAAGGCCGCGGTCGAGTCTTTCCTTTGTACCATTGCGGAACCAGGTGAAAGGCGGACCAACAAACCCCAAATCTGTGAGTTCAGAATCCAGTAAGCAGTCCTGAAACTTCCGGACACGGCTCGCATCCAAGGGTGAACCCCCAAACTTCTCTGACGAACTAAGCATTGAGTTAAAGTCCCCCGCCAAGAGCCATGCCATATCCACTTCTTCGGAAAGGGACCTGATTGTTCCCCACAACGCCCTTCGCTGTATCAACGCTGGATGTCCATAGACCGCGGAGAAGAGAAATTGCGAGTTCCCCAGCTGGACCTGGACGTGGAGAAGCTGGCTCGTCCTTCTCCTCTCAGTGACTTGGACCACCGATTCATCCCATACAATCCATATACCCCCTGAGAAACCATCCGCGTAAACCACTAGTGCGTTGTCCAATCCCATTTGAGTGATCACTTGAGTCACCCTATCACCACTGATCCTTGGTTCGACAATGACCGCCAAGTGAGGATGATGCTTTCGCTTGTATTCTTTAAATACACGAAGGAAGCGGTTGCTCCCAGCTCCCCTACAGTTCCACGTAAATATGTTAAGATCCATGTAAACTTCAAGGACGGTAGGGTAGTCTTAGGTTTCTTAAAGTGAGGGTTGAGGTACCCCCGTGGGGGTATACTCCCGCTTCCCACCCATTGCTTGTTCTCCGGAATCAACGTTCATAGGGCTTAACTCCTCATGTAACGAGGCCGTGTGCATGGCCTGCATGGCGGGTGGTGTGCCCATTGCTTGAGTGTGCTGCTCCATATCTTTGCCCGCTAGCTTCTCTGGTGTACTGCGTGCAGATGGTTCCTTCATCAACCCTTTCTCCTTGGTCTCGGCTGCAGCATGTTCAACCGTCTTGGGATCAGTACAGGTAGGGTTCGTTAGCGAGGGTGGTTCTTTGACCGGGGCCGTATTGGATGGTGACACACCTGACTTGTGTCCTGTTGCTTCCCTTGAGCTGATGCTCGGAGCTGTTGACTTCTCTACCCATACTTGATGCACTTTCGGTGTCGTGTTTGACGTAGAGGGGCGTTCTTGGGTAGTCTTCTCCTGCCTTGTGTCTACACTGCCCCTGTCGAGGTTCACCCGTTGGTGTGATGAGGCAGTTGTCTCCTCCTCCTGCAGGACGTCAAAACGCGACCCAGATCTGGCCAGATTCCCGACACCATTTGGTTGTCCCGCTGCGCCCGTCTTTACTTGTTCCATCCCCCTCTTCGGCCTCCGGTCCCTTCGCTTCGCAATCATCCACTCTCCATACGGTTCCTCATGTTTTCTTCCTTGGGTTTGGACGGGATCGACTGGGTCCTTGATTGGCTGGTCCGACCCGTGAAGTTTGGGGCAACTGGTCTTCGAGTGTCCATACGTCCCGCACTCGAAGCAAATGTTCTCAAGTCCCTCGTATTTTATTTCGTATTCCACTCCTTCAACCTTATACTTGGATAACAGGGGTTTCGTCAGATCGACCTCGATGCAGGCGCGTGCAAAGACCCCCCTGGCCCCCAGCTCCGTTGCCCTATCCACTCGGATCGGTGTACCAGCCCTCTTGGCTATTCGCAACACTGCTTCAGGATGGTAGAGTTCAATGGGTAGGTCAGGGAGTCTGATCCAAACAGAGGTAGATTGGATCTGGCAAGTCCTAGGATCAAACCCCTTCTTCCACTTCTGAATCGTGATGTAATTGTCCCCGATCAACCAGGGCCCACCCGTGAGAGCAAGTTCATAGTCTAGCTTACTAGTAAAGCGAACAAAGAAGAAGCCGTTCGGCCTGTTCGTAATCTGTATCGTCCTATTGCGTGCCCACAACATGTTTAGACGCTTCGCCATAATAGGGTACGGGTATGAGCGACCTAGGACCTTCACCATGAGGGCTGATCGCCACTCCCTTCTGTAGTTGTGCCACTCTTCCGGTGAGAAGTAGATCGTAGGGCAGCGGGGGTCCTCTTCGACAGTCGTTTGATCACGTTGGGTGTCTTCTCTCATCTCCACCACCTCTTCTTCCGTGTCCGAATCCTCCACGTACCAGGTTTCCTCCCTAACCGCTTCGCTGAAAAGTTTCTTGCGTCCCACGCCCCATGCCATGGGTGGCTGCGGTGGTTGTACTACATTCGACTGCAGACCAGTCGTGTTCCGGCGAGAGTCCTCCCTGGCCTCCTTCTGCAGCTCCTCTTCCGTTATATCCTCGACAATGACCTCTTCCTGCCGATTGCTGCCGTCCTGCAGATCCAAAGGTCTAACCCGTTTCTTCAGCTGTTGAACCTCGCGGTCCTTCTTTCCATCCGGAGAAGATGAAACCTCCGGCGGCCGGCGAAGACCAACCGACGGATCAGGGGGCCTAGCCTCCTCCTGAGGGGGGGCTAGTGGTGCGACTGGCTCTCCGGCCGCCGCCATCAGCACGCGTTGCTCGGGGAAAACCCTAGAATGGCGATTTCCTGGCTCCGGGGAATTCGGAGAAAAAACCCTAATTCGCTTCTAGTAAATTGAATTGGTTTAACATTAAAAGGATTAACTGAAAAAGCCCAATAAGTAGGCTACACGTGGGCAGGATGCTGCTTGGAGCGGCAACCTAGTCCGCTGCCAAATTTTGCCCTATAATATTTAAGCATGTAGCGAAGCATAATGTTTTTCACATTTCTCGACAGTACCATGTCGTACCATACCTGTACACCTATATTTATACCCACACCCCGACAGCCTACACAAAAAGAAAAAGGGAGCTATCGACTCTTGCCTACAAATCCACTTCTTTCAACGAAGAAAAGGCTGGCCAGGTCAGAGATTGAAGAGCGCCAACACCAGCAGTATGTTGGCGATATATACAGTTGGTGAATTGAGCACATTACTTGCTGGAATCTCCACCATTTGTACGACTGAAACAGGTCCTTTGCAGGCTTCCGCAGCTGAAGCTGCCGGGCTCGACTCCAGTGCCGAATGCGCATTAGTAAAGCGGGACGACTTGGTGGCCCTTGTAGCTTCTGGAAGGAGCCTTCTTCTTCCCTTCCCAGCTTCTGCAGCTCTAGTCAGTTGCCCAAGGCTCTCCTTAACAAACTAACATGGAACATACATAACAAACCACTTCAGTAACACATTCTTATGTTTGGTCGTGTAGATTGATTGCATTTAACCTTGGGGGTCGTTTGGTAGGCATGTAAAGTAGAATTCATGCATTTGAAGAACACATTTGCGTATTGTATGTCTAGTTGTGAGAATTCATGCAATATTATCTAAAATCAGTGGGTAAATTACCAGGTTGCTTTGTTTGCACATTGATGCAATTGGAAGCTTGGACTGCGCCTGGGCCATGAAGTAAGAAGCTTCATCTTCAGGGATACCTTGGTGTATAACTCCTCTGTCTATTACCTGATTGCTATCTTGGTGCAATGATGCAATTGGTTCAGAGAGACTTTGGTATACAAATCCTGCCGTAATTACGTTGACCTGTTTAAGAGAGTGACGGAGTAAACATTATCTCTCAAGATCTTCAAAATCACAAAGTATAAACTACAATTCTCAATACTACTCAAGAATGGGATATGGCTCTGGCCTCTGGCAGATGACTTGGAGGTTTTAAGAAAAGCCTACTCAATCAATGTAATCAGTACCTGTGGAATGCCATCATCCGGGATAACAAGGTAACTGCCTGGATCCAGTTCATCATCGGGCTCGAATCCAAAGGTTGACCCGTTATTAGTTTCATTGGTGAATACATCGTCTCCTAAGAAATCATCAATGGAAATACCTTCCTCAAGCCACACTGGTGATTGCATTGCAGTAGCTGATTCTTGCTGCCAATCAAAAAGTTGAAAGAGAATATGAGGAAATGGCTACTAGACCGACCCTGCTATAATAATTCCATAAACACCTAGCAAAGATATGGCAAACAAATAAACTAACCCTATGTTCCGATCTGACAATACCATACCGTAATCAAAAGGTTCTTTTCACTGCCCATCCATGCACAAGTCACATGAAAGATGCAAAAGGGAGAACTCCCATTCATTAATGGCATTCTCTCAACTCACCACTGGGATTGCAGTTGCAGGACCATGACTAAGTTCACCACCAATGCTAACTTTACCCTTCGTCCAATCATCCCCTTTGTGCTTCAGTTTGCAGATAACATACTCCTTCTATACAAAAATTAACCAATGAGACAACAATAGCTTAGACCAAAGGGCACTTGTTTTGCTTCATGGCCTGAATCATTCCATAAAAACTCGATCAATCATTAACTACAGCAATCATTAACAAACCAACCTGATCAGGAAGGAGTTCTGTGGCCTTGTACTCGTGGATGACCCATTCGGTACTGATGGGTTTAATATCGCCGCGGGCTCTGTAGAAGAAAACCAAAGTCTTCTTAACCCCAATTTGGTCGCCAGAATCTCTGGCCAAGATGAAACGGGGCTTCCCGGTGACTTTCCAGTACCCACTCTCAGTCGCCCTGCTAGCCCTTTTACTGTTCTTGTACTTGTAATCGAGACGGCAGAAGAAATACCACACTTGGTCCTCAAAAGAACCAATCAGCGAATGATCTTCAAGCACACAAAACAAACAGAGTAAGCCAAAATGTCGGAAATCGTCAAATGAATTCGGCAATCGGAACAAAACCCAGAAGGGGAAAAGTTGAGAACGTAGGAGCTGCTCTCCCCGCTGACTTACAGGGTAATTCCGATGGTTCCAAGCGGTAGACATCAACTTCGCCCATGACACTATCGACTAGGGCATCGAGGCCGGTCATCTTAAGCTTCAGGTAATGGGTGATGAGCTCCTCGTCGGTCGGGTGGAACCGAAAGCCCACGGCCGCCATTGATCACTACCGTCGAGAGAGAGAGAGAGAGAGACAGCTGGAAAAGGGCACTGGCAGATCGGAAATTCAACTGTTACCAGAGATGTGTTGAAACTTGAAACCCTAAAAGCCCCTTAGGCTGCTTCTCATTCATCGTTTGGTTTATACAGCCATTACAGATCACTACAGTTACAGTTCAACATTGAAAAGTGAAGAAGAAAGTAAAGACGGGTGAAAAGCATTTCAAATACAGAGTTACTGTGCTCTAACAATCTTGGCGCCATCCTCTTTACTAGAACGGCGTCGCTTCACATAACGGGCATTTTCCCTTTTCCTCATACGACGTTGCTCCAATTAACGGTCGACTGCGCTGTTGATGTTGAAGCTGATCTGAGCAATACAGGAGTAAGGCTTTTTGACAAATCGTCTGATATCCCCCGCAAGCTGGGGGCATAGTTGATGCACACCGAGCTTGGACAACAGGTGAGAGAATGGAGCTGGGGGTAATGGTTTTGTGAACAGATCAGCCAGTTGGTGGGAAGTGGAGACGTGCAATAGCTTGATGATGTTGGCTTGAAGCTTCTCACGAAAGAGGTGGCAAATCAATTTCGATGTGCTTCGTTCGTTCGTGAAAAGTAGGATTTTCAGCAATATACAGAGCATATTGATTGTCGCAGTAGATTGATGCTGGCTGGGGATGAGAGATTCTGAAATCATGGAGTAGGTATAAGAGCCATTGTACTTCACAAGATGTGTAAGCCAATGCTCTGTATTCAGCTTCGCAAGATGACTGAACGGCGAGTGTCGACACAAGAAGCCCAATCTGAATCGCTGAATCCTTGAAGATGGAGTGGAGATGTCGAAGAGAAAAGAAGACCAGTAGAAGGAGTTGTTTTTAGGTATCGTAGAATCCGTTCAACGGCCTTGAAGTGGAGAACACTAGGGCCGGACATATACTGACTAACTTGTTGTGTAGCATAGCTAATGTCAGGGCGTGTGGTAGTCAAGTATGCAAGCTTGCCCACCAATATGCGATAGAGGTCATGATCAGGGAAGGCATCATTGTTGGTGCTGGAGAGGTGAACCTTGTAATCCATGAAAGGTGGTGACAGGCCGAGACGAGAGCAGATCTGCATCATCAATAATTTCCAAGGTGTATTTGCGTTGAGATAAGTGGATACCAGCAGAGTTCCTAACTACTTCGATGCCAAGGAAGTATTTTAGTTCCCCAAGTCTTTGATGCTGAATGTGTCATGGAGGAAACTCTTGATTGTTGTGATCTCAGTAAGGTCATCTCCCCCTACAAGCATATCATCAACATAGATAAGTATGCAAGTGTATGAATGGGGAGTCACTTTGAAGAAAAGAGAATGATCAACCTTACTTGATGTGTAACCTTGAGTGAAGAGAGAATCAACTAGTTTAGCAAACCATTGACGAGAGGCATGTTTCAAACCATACAGGGACTTTCGCAGTAAACAGACTGGATTGGGGATGTTTGCAGGAGCTTTGTAGCCTTGTGGAAGCTTCATGTAGACTTCTTCAGTTAAGTCTCTATGTAAGAAAGCGTTGTTAATATCTAACTGGTGGACAAACCAGTTCTTTGCAGCAGCAATGGTGAGAAATAATCTTACTGTGGTCATTTTGATTACTGGTGCAAAGGTTACTTGGTAATTGATGCCCTCTTGTTGGCTGTATCCTTTGGCAACCAAGCGTGCCTTGTGGCGCTCAAGAGTTCCATCAGGTAAGAACTTGAACTTATAAACCCATTTGTTCCCAATTGCTTTCTTGTTTGGTGGGGGCTGACTATGTCCCATGTATGATTCTTTTCAAGGGGTGTGGTTTCTTGAATCATGGCATAATCCCAGGACTGAGGATGGCCTCTTGGTAAGACTCTGGCTCTTTGTGAGATGAAATACTCAAGACAAAATGCTTGTGATAATCTGATAAGGAATTATAATTGACCACAGCAGAGAGAGGATATGTAATACCTGGATTAGGGAGCTGAGTTGAATGACTGGTTGAAGAAGACTGCATAAGCATGTTGCAATGGTAATTTTGGAGATGGGAAGGGGGTTTGGGATGGCGGGTTGCTTTCCTGACAGCTATGGGTGCATCAGCAGAAGATTGGGGAATGGTACTAGGTGGAGCAGGTGGTGGAGGTGAAGGTTGGGGTGGAAGAGGAGAGGTAGGAAGAGGGCAGGAAGAAGAAGGATTAGAGGGTGGTTGGGGAATGTGGATGTCAGGGGAGGAGGAAGTGTAATCTGGTAGAAAGGTATAGAGATTAGTAGAGGAGGGATTGTCAGGTGCAGCAGGAATCTGGGAGGAATCTTTGAAGGGGAAAGAAGACTCATAAAACTTAACATCTATCGAGGTGAATATATCATGTCTCTCAAGATCATAGATCTTATAACCTTTGATGCCTTGTGTGTGACCAATGAATATGCCTTTTCGAGCTCTTGGTTGGAATTTTGTTCTGTGGTTGCTGAGATTGGATGCAAAAGCTAAACAACCAAATACCTTCAAAGCTGTTAAAGCAGGTTGTTTGTTGAATAGCTTTTCATAGGGGGGGGTTAATTGTTTAAGATAGGGGTAGGAACTCCATTGATCAAGTAAACAACATGCCTCACACAATCTCCCCAAAAACCAGTAGGTAAATTAGCTTGGAATTTGAGAGCTCTAGCTATGGACAAGATGTGTTGGTGTTTTCTTTCGACTCTACTGTTTTTCTGTGGTGTCTCAATGCAAGATATCTCATGGATAATGCTAGTGGAAAGGAAATACTCTGACATGAGAAACTCACGACCTTGGTCACTCCTAATCCTCTTAACAAGACACTGATGTTGTCTTTCAACCAGAGTGCAAAATTCATGTAATCTGGTTCTGGTTTCAGCCTTGGTTTCCATAAGAATTATCCAAGTCATACGAGTATAGTCATCCACAATTGTAAGAAAAATACTTGAATCCATCATAAGTAGGGCTAGGATTAGGACCCCAAATATCAACATGAATTAGTTCACAGGGGTTCACTGTTACAGAAGAACTAGATGAAAAAGGCAGCCTCTTTTGCTTTGCAAAATGGCAAACATCACAGGGTAAAGATATGTTTGTCTCTATGGATGTACAAAGTCTTTTCAAATGAGGAATCTTACTATGGGAGACATGCCCTAATATGAAATGCCAAAGGTCAAAAGGATTAAGAGTTGTGGTGGCTATGGTTTTAGGATTACTGTCTACTCCTAGTTTTGCATATGATAGAGGCCATGGGAGAGCTTAGCAGAACCAGTCATTCTCCTCAGCTCCATGTCATGTATTAAACATAAATCAGAGTAAAAAGTTAAGCACAATGACTTGTTTGTGGTTAACTTACTTACTGAGATTAGGTTGAACGTGAAATGAGGCACAAACAACACTTCCTCTAAGGTTAACCCAACAATCTGATAAATGGTACCAACATGAGTAGCTTCAACTCTATCCCCAGTTGGTAATGTAATGGAAACATTGTGAATCCTTCTGTAGGCACTAAGGCTGTCTAATGAGCAAACAATGTGGTCTGAAGACCCAGTGTCGAGGATCCATGTCCTTGTAGAAGGAGCAGAACTAGTGACATTAAGTAAGAATTTACCTGAACTGTTTGAGTGATGATGAACAAAGGCAGCTGCTGCTGAATGTGATGTAGAGGCCTGTGACTTTCTGTCTGCAAGAAGGCTCATGAACCAGTCATAATCTGCCTTGGTGAGGCGGACTTCTTGCTGATTGTCATCTAGAATGTCACTGGCAGCAACACTGACATGAGGTTTAGGCCTAGCAAAGGAAGTGTTGTTGCTCCTTTGTCCGGTTGCAGGAGGGTAGCCATGTTTCTGAAAGCACCTGTCCTCAGTGTGGCCACTCTTCTTGCAGTAGGTACAGGTAAGGGATCTAGTAGCAGCTGGGACATTAGGAGAAGGGGCTCGAGGCTGCATTCCTGGAGGCCAGCCATGTTTGTGGTAACAGGCATCCTCAACATGGCCCAACATCTTACAAAAGGTGCAGTATGGCCTCTTCCCAGGTATGCTTGACCTTCTGCCATGATAACCTTGGGCTGATAGTATCATACTTTCAGCAGATAGAACAGCAGCATGGTGAGTGCCATATTGCTGCCTTTCATGTTGCATCATCCTCTGAAAAACCTATCAATTGAGGGCAAGGTCTCTCCAAATAGAACTTGGTACCTAACTGAGCTGAAGTTATCATTCAAGCCTCTTAGAAACTGGATCACATAGTTAGTGTCCCTATAGGATAGGACTAACTTCATGGCTGCACAATCTCGATAGCTATTTGGAGTGCATTGACAACGATTGATAGGCTGATAGCTGTCTAATTCATCTTTAATAGTGATCAGATGACCATAGTACTCAGTCACAGAGCGATTACCCTGCTTCAAGGTAGAGAGAGCTACAATCAACTCAGCTATCCTGATCAAGTCTCCCTGTCCATATCTTGCTCGCAGACTCTGCCATGCCTCAGATGCAAGCTGCAGGGACATTGTCTTCCTTATACCAGGTTCGACTGCCTGTTGGATCCAGCTTAGAACCATTATGTTGTTCCTGCTCCATGGACCATACTGACGTCGTCTTCTGCAGGTGCAGTGATGGCTCCGTTGATGCAACCGAGCTTGTTCTTCGCGCCAAGTGCATTGAATATGGTTTTGCTCCAGTCATTGTAATTGGTGGTGGTTAACTTCTCACCTACCAACATCAACCCAGGCTGATCTGAACCATGTAAGTAGTAGGGATCCGCCATGGGATCTGCATTGCTTGTTGTTGCCATTGTGTTGTGTTTTGGTGTTTGGGCGGCTAGGGTTTAAGCTTTGATACCATGTTACCAGAGATGGGTTGAAACCCTAAAAGCCCCTTAGGCTGCTTCTCATTCATCGTTTGGTTTATATAGCCATTACATATCACTACAGTCCAACATTGAAGGGTGAAGAAGAAAGTAAAGACAGGGGTGAAAAGCATTTCAAATACAGAGTTACTGTGCTCTAACAATCTTGGCGCCATCCTCTTTACTGGAACGACGTCGCTTCACATAACGGGCATCTTCCCTTTTCCTCGTACGACGTCGCTCCAACTAACGGTCGACTGCGTTGTTGATGTTGATGTTGAAGTTGATCTGGGCAAAACAGGGGTAAGGCTTTTTGACAAATCGTCTGATATCAACAGTGTTTTCGTCTCGACTTTAGACAGTTAACCGGCTCAACTTGGATTCCAAAAACAGGGGAAGGAGAGTTGTTGAACTCCAGAGAAAAAGCCGAAGAAGGGAAGAGAGCTAGGAGAAATTTTACAATGCTATATAGTATTGGTGCTATAGAATTTTGCCTTTATGGTACAACTTAAAATTGTACATTTACGTTATGGTACAACTTTAGATTGTACCTATACTTTTTGTACAAATTCTTTTATGGTACAACTTGAACTTGTACCTTTATGTGATGGTACAACTTCAAGTCGTAAAGTTGTACCATAACATAATGGTACATTTTCCTTTATGGTACAACCTAAACTTATACATTTAATTTTATGGTACAACTTTAAGTTGTACATTAAAGCACCAATACTATATAGTATAGTAGAAGTGCTCAGAGAGCTAGTGGGTTGCTTCCATTAGGATATATGTCTCGCTGCCATCGCGGTATTTCCAAGCCGGGGCGACGACGACCGGTGGATGATTAGCGAAATGGAAGAATCGGCATTGACTCTCACTGTGACCTCAATTCAACGGCACTACTCCATGAAAAAGTAAACGCGCATACAGGTCTTTGTTCTGTTATATATTGGAGGTTTGTTCTGTCTTAGAGCGGTGGGCTCTCCCTTTCTTTCAGCAAAAGTGTCATTTTCATTTTTTTTTTTTGGATGAACAAAAGTGTTTTTTTCGCCAAAAGTAAATTCGACACTCCAAATTTGCTAATGATTGTTCTTCATTTCATTATTAAAGCATGCTTAGTTATTAAATTAGGACTAAAAATTGTTTAGTGATTGAACTGTATGATTTTAAATGAACTTCAAATTATACAAATCTTTTACGTGAGAACTTTTACTATGCTATATAGTATTGGTGCTTTAATGTACAACTTGAAGTTATACCATAACATTACATGTATAAGTTTAGGTTGTACCATAAAGGAATTTGTATCATTATGTTATGATACAACTTTACAACTTGAACTTGTACCATCACATAAAGGTACAAGTTCAACTTGTACCATAAAAGAATTTGTACAAACAATATAGGTATAATCTAAAGTTGTACCATAACGTTGAAGATACAATTTCAAGTTGTACCATAAAAGTAAAAACCTATAGCACCAATGCTATATAGCATCGTAAAATTCCTCCTTTTAAGTTTGCCACTTGAAATTTTTCTTTTTTATTCGTCACTAACTTTACGAATCATTTTAGCATTAGTCAACGGCAGTTACACTCCATAAAATTTGTCATACGTGGCAGTCAACTATAAAGTTTTTTTTTGCGTTACAAGAAGGCTAAAAGCCGAGAGCATTACAGACGAGGGGGGGGGGGGGGGATGATGAGCTACAACTCTACGCTCAAAAGTAATTCCCATGAGATCGTCCCAAGAATAGTAGCTAGCCCGGGCGGCGGGTTCACAAGCTCATGCATATCGTGGGGATAGACGAGACTGTGCTTCGAGAGCCAGTCCGCGGCTCTATTCCTCTCCCGGTAGGTATAGGCAATGTTCACCAGCCAGTCTTGGGCTAGCTTCCTGCGGATCACGACAAGTAAAGTGGCATAAGGATGCACCAGGTCATGCCGACTGTTGACGAGAAAATGGCAAGCTGTGAATCGGATCCAATTTTCAGGGCTCGGTGGCCAAGTTTCCAGGCCAGGTCGAGGCCATGGAAGAAAGCCCACAGCTTTGAAAGGGCCGCGGAGGCTTCTCCTATGTTCGCGATGAAGCCAGCAATCCATCTCCTAGTGGAATCTCGCAGTAGTCCTCCTGACCCAGTCGGACCCGGGTTTCCATTAGATGCACCATCAATATTCAGCATCACCCACCCAGCCGGCGGTGGCGCCCAGCTGATCGCCGTCATCACCCGAGTTGCCAAACCCTTTCCTCCATCCAACCGCAAGGTGGGGGTATGCCATGCCTCATTCCACAATATTGTCTTCGCCATAATAGAGTGAGTAAGAGATGAGGAAGACAAGGCAACGCCAATGCCCTTGAAGACAGTGGTACACCTGTTTTTCCAAATAAGCCAAGCCGCCATACTGAAAAAAGCCGCCCAACACATACGAGATCCATCACACTCTCCATTCTGCAGATTGTCACGAAGCCAGGTCTGCTGATCTGCACCAAAGAAGGCAGCCTGTTTATTACCTGGTATTTGACGGGACCAAAAGAAGGCTGCTGGCGAGCAATCGCGGAGAATGTGAACGATGGTCTCCGGACTCCCATTACATCGCATGCAAAAGGGATTGAGCGCCAATTTCCTGTGGAAACGCTCTTCATTGGTCACGAGTTTCCCAAGCAGAACCAGCCACATGAAGCTTCTGATCCGCTCCGGCGCTGGAAGATTCCAAATGATCTTCCAGTAAACTGCCATCTGGTGAGGCTGTCCAGAAAATGGTGTCGTCCTCCGGAGAAAGGTTGTCAACAGCTATGCTATGAATCTTCTGATGTACATCGTCAGGGAGGAGTGCCATGAAAAGATCAGCTCTCCACCGTCCATGTGGTCCAATATAATCCGCCACTGTTGCCTCCACCATCTCAGGGAGGATTGGTCCAGTCGCCACCTCTCTCAGGGGTACCTGCAAAAGCCAAATATCCTGCCAAAATTTAGTGGTACGTCCATTCTTAATATTCCAAGCGCATCCCTTTCGTCAGTTATTGCCTTTCCAACCACATTCCACGACTTTAGGTAAAAAGCTGCCTGGAAGCCATCCGGACCCGGAGCCTGGAGAGGCTTCATGTCAAAAATTGCCTTGTGGATGTCGCAGATAGTGAAAGGACGCAGAAGGTTCATGAGTTCCTGCTGTCCTAGACGCGAAAAGGCACCCTTAGGCATCTTGTCCTCATACGACGAAATATCCTGCAGATAAAGGTTAGCAAAAGCAGAGAAAACCATGTTCGCGAGCTCTTGAGGATCATCCACCCAGCTCCCATTCGCGTCCTTGAGGGCCCTGATCTTGTTCCGCCGTCTCCTGATGCTAACTTGTTAATGGAAATACGTTGTATTCCGCTCTCCAAACTTCACCCATTTCTCCCGAGCGCGTTGAAACCATATTAGCTCCTCCTGCTCGAGCACTTTATCCAACTCCACCTCAAGTTTAGAATGCAACTTGGCTAAACCAGGATTGAAAGAGAGGGCCAGACGAGTTTCCACTCCCTCTATGCATTTCAACAACCGCTTCTTTTTCTGCTGGACGTGACCAAAAACACTGCGATTCCACTCCTGCAGTTTGACCGGGAGGTTGTGCAAAGCATCTGGTAAGGTTGCTCGCTCATCCCAATTATCTGCAAGGAAGTCAAAAAAGTTGTTGCGCATAAACCAAGCCGATTCAAACTTAAAAGGGCGAGATGACAAAGGAGGAGCAGCTCCCTGAATTGTAGCCGAGGTGAGGACGGGATTATATGATCCGAATGAAGGCGGGGTAAGTGTACCACCATGGTGTCAGGGAAGTTCGAATTCCATAAAAAGTTGCACAGAGATCGATCGATTCTACTGCTCTATAGGATTGATGATGTTTCCCCCTTGTCCAAGTGAAGGCTGACCCAGAAAACCCCATATCCACAAGCTCGGCTCGATTGATAGGATCATTGAAGAGTTTGCACTTTCGGATGGTGTCTGCCGTAGCTAGCCCTGACTTTTCCTCTAGTGTCCGAATAGCATTGAAATCTCATGTGAGCAGCCAGGAGATGCCGATGATCTTGCTTTGCTCGACAAGGATGTCCCATAAAGCTCTTTGCTCAGCCTGTCGAGGAGAGGCATAAACCACTGTGAGGATCCAAGGATTAGCGTTCCCTTGAGTCACCCGCAGGGATAGATGTTGAGAGCACGCTGACCAAATCGAAATTGAGAATTTAGCGGCGTCCCAAAACACCCAAATGCCCCCCTTACGTCCATCTGCTTCCACTCTGATAACATTAAGGGAACCCTAGCTTATCACAAACTGAATTAGCTGTATCCCCGCTGATTTGGGGCTCAAGAAGAATAAGGAAATCTGGTCGGTTCTTGAGAATGACCAGCTTCAAAGAGCGGGCAAAATTTTTGCTCCCAGCTCCGCCTACATTCCAGGAGAGAAAATTAATAGCAGAGTCACTCATCATAGATAAAAAGGCAGAAAAAAAAAACAGAGAGGGGAGGAGGTGAAGGTTCGGGGTCACCGAGTTAGGCTTGGAGTCCGCGTGCGCCCTCTGAACTCAACCCCGTCGTTGGTTGAGCAGCCATCGGGGTTATACCTTCACCGCAGTCATTCTTTACCAAAGAGCCTATAGTACCCCTGTTCCACGCAGTAATGTCCTCGAGGGTGAGAGAAGCAGCTCGAGACTTTGATTTGGTCCTCCTCTCCTTCACTGGCGACCATAGCTGGAGAGGTTTCAACTGATTCAATTTGATGGGGGACTGTTTTTTGATTTTCATCTTAGAGCTCTTTGTCTGCTTCAATCTTTTGGTGGTGGTCGCCGCCGTGGCCTTGCTTTGTTTCCGAGACGTCTTCATCGATGAGGGCTGAATTTCCATAATCTGGATGTGAGTTCCCTTGGGCCCCAAAATTGTCTCAATTTACATGGGTGGGCTACCGTGAGCAGAGTATGAGGAGGGTTGAAGCCCAACAGTGGGGATATTAATACCTAGGCCAACCTGTTGATCTTGAGGATTCTCCGCAGAAGAGGATGTGGAGGCCATATTTGAGCCGTCCATGGGCTGAGGCCCAGTCACAGAGGGAACTTTCCTATACGGAGCCGGACCTAGAAGTCCTTTGCCCAGGTTAGGTTTCTTCTTTGTTAACTTCGATTTCCCTTTGTCTTTCTTTGCCGCTTCCCCTGTCTTCTTTGTTGAGTTTCCTTTCATGTCTTGATTCATTAGTCGTTGAGGTGTGGCCGAAATCGGAGGAGGGTGAGCTTGAGAGTCGCTACCTTCCTTAACCTTTATGTTCCCTTTGTTACTTTTCGACCCGTTACCCTGGGATTGGCTCCCTGAATCCATCTCTAACTTTCCTTTCCTGTGATTGTCCCTTGAATTCCGCCAGATTTTTTTGGTAACAAGCATCCAAGGGCCAAAACCAGGATTGGGTTCAGCTTCCGCCGTCGGTGGTGATGGCGGTCTCTGGCCGCTAGCCAAAACAATCTCACTGGTCACTTCTACAGGCCTGCACAGCGGGCAAGTGGCTTTTGTGTGCCCAATTTTACCACACTCGAAACATACCACGGGAAGATTCTCGTATTCGACCTTCTGCCAGCGACGGTCAAGGAAAATTCGCAGCACTAGATGTTTAGAGAGATCCACCTCAATGGCAAGTCGGGCGAATTTTGCTCTTTGTTGGGTAAGCGTATGGTAATCCAGTTTGATCGTGCGACCAATCAGATTATCTAACGCTGTCACAACTTCCTTATGATAAAAATGGACCTTGAGAGCTAGTAGTTGTACTCATACGATCATGGTGTTAGGCAAGGGATCTGAAACGCTGAAATCAGGGGTCCATTGTTGCACTACCAAGTAGTGGTCGAAAATCACCCATGGACCATCCGTCAATGCTTTGAAGTAGTCCTAATCGTTGTCCAGGTTGACCATAAAACAGCTGGAGTCCAAATCCAGTATTTCCATCGAGCCGACAGGTCTCCATTGAGCTCGGGGCGTGAGCAAAGCGCAGTGTAGCCAATCTTCATCCCCAGAACACGAATGACAAGGGTCCTCTGCCAAGGGGCACATATCTTGCTCCTGAACCCTGCCGAGACGCTGAGTGCCGGTTCACCGTTGTGTTTACACATAATGAGATCGTGCTCCCCTACCACTGTCCATTGGTTGGACTGAGGTAGCGGAGGCGAGCAGATTGGCGTCCCGGTCACCGCTCAGGCATAGGAAATCCCAGACCGAGAAGGGGAGGGAGCAGTCAGCTATAAAGTTTGACCGTTAACTAGATGATGTGGAAATTAAAAAATTAAAAAAAATTTCCACCTCATCATTCCACTCACCTTTTTCTATATGATTTATCATATTTATTATTTAATAAAAATTAATTAAATTACAAAATTACTTATCAGCGTGAGAAAAAATTGCAGAGGGAAAATTTTCTGTTCGTGAAAGCTGTGATAACTAATCCTTCCAATTCCATCACTGACACGCTATGACACAACACCAAACTGCGACCAAGTGTAATCGCAGTCCAGGAATGCAGTAAAGTGGCAAGTCTAATTATCAACCCGGGGTCTAGATCTACTGCCTACTCCGTGAATATCTATTATCTAGCCAACTAAGTTGATTGATTGTTGTTTTAACTAAAAGCAGTAAGAAAGCAGGAATTGGTTCGGTTTTCTAAAACAAGGAAGAGTTGCTCGGAATGAGTCCCCCTAGCTCCTTAGTTAGGTCTCGGTTGTAATTACCCTGGGTTGATTTACTGTTGATTAAACTGCGAAAGATCCGACAGTAGCTTGGAATCTCTTAAGCTGACCAAGCCCTCTTAGTCTAACTACCCGGCAGACGATAAGTCTTCACCGGGATAGAAAGCTGAAGCAATAAGAACAGAACTTCACTACTGGAATTGGATTCCAGTACAAAGCAGTAGACGGACTAACTCTCGTATAGCCAATTACTACTACCGAATGAAGAAGCTCTAACAACCTAATTAGATTCTATTTATCTCAGGTTGCAACAGAAATCAAGAAAAGCTGATCAGATTTCAATCAATTCAATGAATCATGCATCATTCGATTAGAACCAAACAGTATAATTCCAAGTCATTACAATCATGATCCCTAACACATGGAACTAGGGTTATTCATACCCAAGTGAGAGAAGGTTCTACTCCATAGAGAGAGAGAGAGAGGAAAACAGAATACAAAGCAGTCATACTCATAACAATGGGAAGAATCTGCTCTAGGATGATGATTTTCACTCCTATGATGATCTCCAAGCTCGATTTGATGAAACCCAGCTCCAAGATCGATTCTAGGATGTGTTCTTCGCACTTTCTCTCTCTAGGGCTCTGTTTTTGCTCTCAAAAGTCGATTCTCTCACTTGTGGCTCGAATTTGGGTTAAACCCAGAAAATCCCGATCACACGGGAAGGCCACACGGCCGTGTGGCTTACCCAGATGCCGGTGTGAGAGTCAAAACGCGGAGTTTCGATTAATTGGACTTCAGGCTACCTACACGGCTAGGGACACACGGCCGTGTGGAATCTCCAGCATGCCCGTGTGAAGCCTTGCTAAATCCCACACGGCCACATTGGTTTCTTACACGGCCGTGTGGGTTTTAGGAGTGCCCGTGTGGCTTCCTCAGCGTCTCGCCACACGTCTGATCTTCGTCCAATGGACGCCGAACTCGCTCCCAAACCTTCATTCACGTACTAGGACCTGAAATATCACAAACAAGCACAACCTAGCATGAAATCGGCCTAAAACACGAGAATCAACATCTCAAACGGCTCAATTATAGGGGCAAAAACATGTGCAATTAACGGTTTATCAAACTCCCCCACACTTAACCTTTTGCTTGTCCCCAAGCAAACCAAGTCAGACACAAGGTAAGCTCACATATTTCAATCATACCAACATTGGGGACAAATCATATAGGCACAGAGCACGTGAATCATACTGGCTTTCAAACATCAACACATGAACAACTTGAAAAGCAACCTGGACAACCACCACAGAGGACATTCGAGTGCAGCAAAATCGAGTAAAGGAGGAGTCTCCCTTCTGTTCACCAACCAACCTAGACTTGACTCAACCACTTATTCAAGACAGTCAACTCATGCATAAAACTCAAGACATCAGAATCAAGACCGAGCCATCTAGGTCCTCACCGGGGTAAATAGTGTAAAGAACAAGGAAATGAATCGCTCACTCTCGACCAGTGGGGCCAGGACAATTTGATGCGAAAAATGCGCATACTTATTCTCTCAATCCCTAACGTCTCTTCACCATGACGGCAACCTCTAAGTGTTAGAGCTCACAAAAATGGGTGTCATCACTAACTAATCCGGAGGTCTTAGACACAGGTTCAAGTGACTGGCTAGGGTCTTGGACATGGGGAAAAAACCTTTTAGGTGGTGGAAGTATTCATAGCACAAGGTTCCACAATTCCAAACCCAACACATTCACAACCAATCGAACCAGTACTTTCTTTCCGCCATTCTGCATTACTCACATTCTCTAGAGCACAAGAGCGAAGGAGGTCACATAAATGCTAGTATTTCTAAGCCAGACTGCTAAGAAACACTACTTAATGGGCACTATTCATTTTTTTTTTGGTAGTGGCTCTCTTTTGATTTCATTTTTTTTTCTTTCATTTTTTTCATTACTAAAGAGAACCACCACCTCTGCATATTTTTCAAACACATGCCCAATTTTTAAGCACTACCTCCAACCCTCACATTATATTTAGCAGAAACAGCAGAGAACATGTAAAAACCACTCTGTGGAACCTTCTAAGAGATGCAAAAGGGTGATTTTTCATTGTAGACCGAAAGAAAGGAGAACACACGGCTCAAAGGGGCTACTTAGGGGGTATGACACACCAGGACAGTCAATTTGGTCGTGGGCTAATCCTATGCCTCCATCATCTTAGCTAATGACAACGTGAATGCTACACATCACTGAAGAGGGAACTATCGCACAAGAAAGAAACGAGCAGGCTCAAATCTCACATGGCTATCTATATGCTCTATCTCTCATTCTGATTCCCTGAACTAGATGCATAAACGACTGTCAAGAACAAGTGATCGATCCAAGTCACAGTTGGTAAGCAAACAGTTGAAAAACTGAACCCCTACACCATCCTACTGCACGTCTCAGTCATCATAATAGGTTGTCCTAGTCACAATCCTGTTGTCATGCATTAATTTGAAAGCCATTCAATTCACCAATCAAAACACAGTGCCAATATGATCAAACAACCGTACTTGGAGCCCTCAAATCTCGAGATTTGGACAGCGGACTAGGCTCCAAGAACGCGTATATAGATTCCAACCGATACCAAGCACCCCTCCCCCCACACTTAAGCACGACATTGCCCTCAATGGAGCATAGGGAGAGATAACGGGAACGATGTTACCGGATTGAAATACTGCGGGAGACTGGAAGTGGACCAGTCAGCGGGGAACATATGGAACGAACAGGCAATTCTGCAAGAAGGAAATAACAAGAACACACTAGCACACTGCGCGTTAGGTATCAGAGTTGGCCTAGATGGCCACACAAACGACAATCCACAAAAGCAAACCAAAAGTACAAAAACAAACGACAGACTCAGTTCAAACTCCTCAAACACATAGAGCAAACATAAAAAGTCTAAAACAAAAACACACTCTGAGGGGCGACGAGTACAGCCTACTCGTCGCCAAGGTTGTCGAGGTCGATGTCGTTCATGAAGGCGTCACCGTCGGCGACCGGGGGTGGTAGGGGAGAGTCTTCCCAAGGATTACTCCAGACTGGATGCTTGCCCGGGATCAGCTGGAGCAGGTGCTGCTGGACATCCTGCATACGCCGAGATCG